ACAAAAATTTCGAATTTTTCACTTTCAGTGAAAATTTCAGTGAATAGCTCCTCGATTGTCATGTTCCCCTGATACTTTTTCAAAAATTTCGAATTTTTCAATTGCAGTGAATACCTACCTAACGAAAAAATTGGAATTATTAAAAAAAAAAAAAATGAATAACGGCGGGGTTGAACCCGGGCCGTCGGCGTGCTAGCCGAGCACGTTACCGCTAGGATAACGTATTATTGCAATAATAAAATTTCATTAGGAGTATATATATTGCAAAAGTATTGTTTTAAAAAATTGCTAATTTTTCAATTTCACTGGATATCTTCTGGATTTTCAAATATTCAGTTTTTAAACGATATTTCAATTGATTTGCCATTAACAAAAAAAAAAAATTTGAATTATTATGAAAAAAAAAAAATCAATGATGCCGGGATTGAACCCGGGCCGCCGGCGTGGCAGTCGAGCACGTTACCACTAGGACAACGCGCTCATTTAAAAATATAAATTCATTAGTGGTATATCTTCAACATATTGAATAATTTTTTCCATTGAAATTCCACAAGATGTGGTTTACCCCTTCCGTACGTGCTACAGTCGGTTAAATTTCAGTTAAACAAATGAAAAACAAAAAGCATTCACACCGCAAAAAATAAAATTCACCCCGTCGACTTGATGAACACCCCAGCATTGCGTGTGGTGCCCTCCCTCTCTTGGGGTGCAGTACTAGGATGCCGCCGGGGTCACTCAAACCCCTCAGAACTGAGCCTCTACTTTAGTCAATCCTCTTTGATCTTAACCATCTTAACGCGCATTTATCCTGTCAAGTAGAGTACAAATCGCCAGTGAGAGTGGTGTGCATAAACTACACGTATTTGCACGTTTTACTCTCTAAGTTCTCTCAGCCTTCCATAACTACTGTTGTTACGCTTTGCTACTTTTCTCTGGCTCCTCCGATCATCACAAAAAAAAACCAACAAAAAATTGAATTTCAATCATTTCGCGCGTTCTCAGGGAAAATAATAATAATAATAACCAAACTAAACTCATTTTTGGTAGGTTTCCGGCGAGGGGTTGGGGTGTAGGTGCCCAAGACTCATCCATTTGTGCATCTCCACAACAATAACAACAAAACGAAAATAAATAGTCCAATTTTCCTATTTCGGCCTGTCCACAGCGAGTTAACAGTGGATTTTAATTTTGTTTTGTTCGTTGATGATTATGTGATACGTTTTCTACTGTGAGAGAGGAAAATTGCTTTTGGGTGACGTGGGGAAGTTTTCGGGGTGATATTTTCGATTATTGTGGAAAGAAGATGATTGGGTGGAAAAGTACCGGCTACTTTGGACTTTTCATCGTGTTTGCTGTTGTTGTAGGCAAGTATTATTCTTTTTTAAGGCTCAGTTGTATTATATGTCCAAAGTTTTCTAAATTTTGTTCAAAATTCCTATCTCCCAGTCCTTTAAGTTCTCTCCTTTAAATCTCCTAAAATGACAATTGACAGAAGTTGTACAAGAAATGGCTAACTTTATTTAAAAAATGAAGGAATCATTCAGGAGCTGGGATCAATTAATTGTGGCAGTCTCTCTACCTATTCACAGCAATATATCATTAACTTACAAATTTAAATTTTATGGTGTTTTCGCGTCATTTTGTCGAAATCTCGCCATTGTAGATGAATACGTTAATGACTCTTCATTTTTTTTCCTCTTGGTATGACTAGTAATAAACTGGGTAGAGCTGAAGGCAAACCGCTTATCATGTATAGCTGTTTTTTTTTTATACTACAAGTGTAACTAAAATTATCAAATTCTGCTGATTAACACTCGGTTAATTCGTTATGTCAGAGAAGATTGCTGCCAAAAAACCCTGAGTACGCCTGTTAGGGAATATTTGGTTGAGCAGTGGAATGGCAAAGTAGCAGTATCTACTTTGTTGTTTTTCAGTAATTGAGCACAAACGATGTATTCAATTAGTGAGTGCACGACAATTTACACATTCTCGGTCGGTGAACAATTGCCTGGTCTCTCCCTTTGACTGTCGTTAACAGACAAGAGGGGAAGGCCCTCCTCCAACTTGGTATCTTCAGACGCGTTCATGGACAATCGTCCACTTCCGTTTCTCATTACTCAACGTAAATCAACCCTTTCTGTTGTCATGACTTTGTTTAAACCTCGATGAAGCTTAATGTTATGTTTAATAGAGTGCTTCATTTACAAATTCTATTCTCAATTATGATGATTCCCTTGGATTGTGGAGTAATGAAAAAAAAAAATATATATATATATATCGAAGAGAGTATTGGTTGAGAGTATGGAATTCTACAAAATTGCCTTTTACTCTTTTGTTGATGCAGGTTGCTACGGAAATGTAGGAAAGATATGCCAACCTGACTCGTTGGACTCCTGCGGTGAGAACGAAAGATGTTGGCAAAATAATACACTAAACAGCACTGGAATATGCACGTGTGTCAATGGTTTTAATGAAGTTTCCGGTAGTTGCATTGAAATATCAACAACTGCTGCTGCTGCTTCGACTGACTCTGCAAGCCAGATAAATGAGTCTGATTCTTCAGGTATTTAAAAATATTTTTCTTAATTTTTATTACTCTTCAATCACCAATCAAATAATGATAATAAATGGCCATTAGTGTAATAGACGTGTAGAGACTAGTTAAAAAATTGGTGAATTGCTAAAGTGCCTCGATAATGGTTAAAAAACCTATGGCAATATTTTTGCAGGCAGTTCTGTAGCTGTCGGATTATTAGTTCCAACATTTCTACTTCTTCTCGGTGGCCTTGGATTCTGCCTCATCCGACGCTACAGATTACTTCCTTGTCGTCAAAATGTGTACGGTAATGTGTTGGTAACACGCGAGGAGGATGACGACGATGATCCTCCAATTGCCTAAATAATTAAATTGATGAAGCAGCAACCTAAAAAACAGGTTAAAAAAAAGACTGAGAAATTTCCACGTTGGTTGAGCAAAATCTTCATTATAATCGAGAATTGAAGTAAAGATACTTATATTTTTCAAAATATCATTCAAGAGAATGGAGAGTTCAGCCATTTTTCCATTCCCTTGTTTATCAAACCCATTGTTTTTATCTCAGTTCGAGATGAGCATCTCTTTTAGTTGCTGCAAACTGAAGAAAAGTACTAACGAGGCCAAATATGTAAATAAGCGATCAAAGCGCTTAAGTACATATATTTATAAGTTTATATGATATTATTAAAGAATGAATGAAGCAAGTGATTATAGATGCGTTGATGAAACATTTAATTACTCAAACATCACAACCTCTTTCAGCATTCTCCTCATTTCACATTCTAATGGTCAGTAAAATTTGAGGTTTCAGCGCGTTAAGGGTTGTTGATGTTAATCGATAATTATCACCTTTGCCAATATGTTTTTTTTAGCAGCTAATTATGAGTTATGGAGTTCTGACTCCATAACTTGCCTTTTCCAGTTCGGATTACAGAATTCGTGTCAGCCTTGAGGATATGGACAAATTTTTGTAAATAAATAGAGGCATCGCTCAATTCTAGAATAATTTAAAGCACTTCTTGCCAGTTTCGTTATTATAATAAATAAATATTGTCATTGGTAGTTCAATATTCTAATTTCTATAATAGACATGAATAATTCGTAATTTTCACCATAAAAGCACGTAAATTAATTATGATATAAATTGTATATTACATAAACACTATTCTTGTACTCTATTATTTTTTGTACAGACAATGAATATGAGGGAATAAATCGATTCAAGAATAGGGAGAACGTGACAGCTTTAAGTCGATCTTAATGGTTAATATAAGAAAAAATCAATTTTTTTATTTGCCTAAAATAATCATTACTATGGCATTAATACATTTCAAAATTTTTGTACGATATTCCAAAAAATTTTCGTCTTAACAAATGGTTTTTTTTTTTTCAAATTTTTCCTGTACTCTTATCGCTTCAATGAAATATATCATTGAATAGAGATTGAACTTCACATTTAATGACATCCACTAAACACTAAAATAAAAAAATTCGTAGCACATTTAAAAGAACCATTTGACATGTATTTTTTCCAGAAACCACTGTGATTTGTATAAAATTCAGACAATTATTGTTTGATGATTTTTTTTTCGATAATAAAACTAAAATATTGAATAATAAATTCTCCGCTCAAAATCTGCATACTCATTTACATGTACAATAATTATTATTAACAATTCATCATTTAAATTATTTTTAATCGTATTCCTTTCGCTTGACACTTGTCGATAAGATGGGTAATTCTTCACCTCCGACTTATCCATTGAGAAATCACCTGACATATATATAGAATCAGACATTTATGACGTCATAGTGGGGAAGATGGTGGCGTGGAGTGGTCTCCTGCGTTCAACTCTGCTGCCAGTTTTGACTAGAAATAAAAATCTGGTGGTAAATAACATCGTCCAAAATGGTAATAATCATCCTCTTGAATTCCATGAATCCTCCTCTGTGCCATTGTTCAGCACAATATAATTGGGGTTAAGTAGAAATAATTGAATCTATTCATTACGCAACGTAGATATACAATACATGTGTATGTCCACTATTTGTCTCATAACAACAAATTTTGCTTTCATTAAAATTATTTTTCCAATTAATTCCAAGAACAAAACGAAATAAAGATGAAAATAAAAAGAGGGACGTACAAAGAGAATAACTTAATATTGATGGTTTGTTTATGAAAGGAACAACTAAGAGACACATGTCCGGACATGAACGCACCATGTCAATCATACCATCTCGCTGGATGTGGGACAAAACAAAGGATCTTTTCCACCTTTATTTCATGGTTGCTGCAATTCCCATCGGTCTTACCATTTTCTTCACCAGCATCTTCATAGGTCCTGCCACACTCACGGAAATCCCCGAGGGATATACTCCCAAGGAATGGGAATATCATAGGGTAAATACATGTGTCTTCTTCCATGGCTATCCTTGGCAATATTAATAAACAAATCATTTGAGGATTTAAATATTAATTGAAATTTCAGAGTCCAATCACCAGATTCCTCCAACGCTACATCATGACAACAGATCAAATGGAGTACGAGAAGTACTGTCACTTCATTTGGACGGAGCAAGAAGTCATGAAATGTCGTGCACTTGAGAACAAAGTAAAAGCTCTGATTGCCGAGCGCAAGGACTACCAGGCTTACTATTATTATCCTTACACAAGTGCTGATTACATGCGCAGAATGGCCCAGAGGGAGAAAGATCAGAGAGAACTCTACTCTGGTGATTAAATCCCAGTGAACCACAATCCCGTTACTTATCATCAAAATCGAGTTAACATTATTGAATCAACGAAATCCTTGAGATTGGTTTGGAATAAAGTTTATCGGGAAAAATTCGTTTGCTGAATAGTACAGAATATTAATTGTACAGTTATTGAAATAAATCATTGATATTAAAAAAATAATACATTTCGCCATTTGCTCTCGTTATAACCATGGGAGGAAAGCTCTAATGAATGGGTAAAATTAGTACGTTAGAAAAAACAACAAACGTAAAATAAGACAGGTGAAATATTATTACTACATAAAGAGTTGGTATATTTATGGGATGACGTGATTGAAGAGTCCCCTAACCCCCTCTGTCCATAGAACCAAGATGGTAGTGGGGCCTATTAGGCCCTGAAGAATGAGCGGATACTCCCCCCGCTCCACGCCGAGAAAATGTGTGCAGACCGGTTTGAGGCCAACCAGCGGTTTTATCCAGTATTCACTTCCAGTCTCGAGTCTCGCGTCGTTCCTTTCAGTTACGGACTCTCTCCTCTTCCATCACCAAAAAAACCCCAGGTGCATGAATAGTGCATTGAAACAGTGCATTTCCAATAGATTTAAAAATTGCCGCCAACAAAATTCAAATCTCAAGAACGTCAATTTAGTCAATTTAGGAAAACCTCAGGGGGGACAAAACTTCATTTATTAATTTCGACCGAATACTTATTAATCGCGCAGAATTGTTTATTGTACAATGCGCGATGATGAGGTCACGGATTTTGCAGTTGACCAAATAGGGGAGAATTGGGTGTTGGAGGTGGTGGCGGAGGTGGAGTGAGAGGCAGAGAAGGTAGAGATAATGAAGTAAAACCGGTGAACAGTTGTTCTACCATGTCGAAGGGATAGAAGCTGAAAAATATCATGTGGACGTGTCGAAATCATCTACGTGCGAAGGAGGAAAAGCGCAACATCGCTTGTGAACATTGTGCCAATGTGAATGCATTTTCGTGATTATTTGTGCTATTATCATCAAACAAGTGACTTTTTGTCGTTGACCTGAACCACTCAGCTGGACGCCATTTTGTTCCCTTTGATCGCATTGGGCTTCTTGGAAATTTGTAGCCCACAAGTGGATCCATAACTATGTTAGCCCCAACGAAAGGTAATTATTTAATATCAATCAGTTGGAATTTTAAGTGGCCAGCGTTATTGTAAAATTGTAGTTTTGCTGGTTGTCAGATGATCAGATGTTGTCAGAGTTTTATTTGCCTGTAAGGACAGGGTCACAAGCCGGCAGGGCTACCTATGCCCAATTAAAATAAGACAAAAGTCAAGTGGTCATTTATGAACTGGACAGGGATGATGCGTCACAGATGAGAACGTCACGAGTTATTAATAGTAAAATATGGTAGAGATAATGAAGGATATTGGGAGAATGTCGGGAAGCCTTGGTATGAGCATATTTGGCCATCATATTGGCGAGCTTCCCTCGAATACGCCATCCTGCGTGCCTCATTACCTCAATTACCACACAACTATCCTAAACGACATTAATTTTTAATTTTTTATCATCGTTTGAGAAATCAATCATACCATGGTATAAATAGTAAAATGAATAACAATGAGGTTTTTGTTTCTCTTTGAGGATAAAACAAGTGATGTGTGGGGCCCAAGGTGAGAGAGATGGTATAGCCTCTACCACTCCCCGAGGAGGCCTTTAAAAAAAAGAGTATAAATGTGTTGAGCAGAGTCACCACAAGCCTTGGGCTGGTTGTTGCTATTGCATAACGCAAATATCGATGCCATGAGTTTGATGTGCACGCACTGTACTGGAGTAAAGAAGGCCTATAAAGGGGCCTCGATGAGCCTCTTTGCCTCTTTACCTCTACCTCCTACTCACCTGTGTATTCGTCACGCCCTTGTATCATTATAATCACATTCCACAAAATCACTCATCTCACCTCATTGAGATATTCAAGGCTTTATTCTCATGTACCAACATTTCTTCCTTCTCCATGGAATCCAATACTAGAGATTCCAGTTAAAACGCTCGGAGAATTTCACCACTGAGATTTTATCTTAGAACGTCATTTTAAAGTGATCATTAGCGAAATGAAGGGTTAAAATTTCACCATCTTTTAAAGCCAACTCAAATAGTCAAAATCAACTAAAAATGTCTTTTAATATTTTAATAATATATCAACCAGAAAAATAATTTGATATATGAGGTGTTAAAAATTACACATTGCTCATCGTAAACTACATGTTAGAAATAAATACTCGCATGGTTGCCTATGACAATAGAAACCTCTCGACTTTCAATTGTGTCCACAATTTTACGGTCTGATATTCATTGCAAATTACGAATTCGTTTGCACCGAGTTACTTGTTCGTGATTTTGAAAAAGTTGAAGGGGAGAAACAAGGAACGAGAGGATGAGAAAACTGGCGAAAACGCCGTGAGATTTAATACATTACAAACACAATCGGTATCCTCTTTATTGGTGTTTGTGTGGTTCTCTTGCATTCAATTGCATTGAGAAAATTTCTACCTTGTGTGCATACTCCTCCGTCAAAAGTGAACGCAAAAGTTTACTCTATGTATGTATGCCTGTGTGCATTAACTTTCACTCGAGTCATGACCATATTGGCGTTATTTTTAGTGTAATGTATCAAAATACACCCATTTTTTGCGACCCTCAAGTTACAAACGCGGCAGGACAATTTTTTCGCAATGAATCCCATTTTGTATTTTTTATACAACGGTTTATTGTAACGAAGTGCTCTATGAAGAGACGAAGAAAAGGAAAAAAAGAGCAATTAAATATTTTATAATTATTAATTGGTCTGACGATTCAATTTATTGAAAAAAATGTCTTCTTTTTGTTTTTAGAAACTACTATGGAGAGGATGATGCATGGGGTTGTCGTCATCTCTTATGCACTGGTGAGTCGAATTCCATCTCTATCAATTGCAACTTCCATCAATTGTCTCACGAGAAGAAAAAATTACAAGTCAACAATTGAATGATCACAATTTTCACCCACGAGCTGAGAAATTGTATCCACTCAGTGAAATCACACATTTTCTAACGCTTCCATATGAACCCTGCTCTTTATTTGCCATCCGGTTGAGCTTATATTGAGCAGTTGTATATTAAAAACAGGATATTTTCCACAGCAATGCTAGATACTAATGGAATTTACGAGCTCTCAAATATTTTCTTTTAAAAATTCACAAATTTGTATTATAGACGTTGATACGCGTCTCAAATCTCAAATAAAAATCATGTAATAAAGTGAAAAACTAAACATTATAGCAGATGATTTCTACGGTCCACTCAAGAAGCCCCCTTAACCCAAATAAACCGTGAATACCTAAGAAAAAGTTTGTCTCATCGTCAGTGACAGTGAGTCAAGTCACGTATAAATGGTAAGTGACACGCAATACACGTCTTCAAGCATTGCATAATCAGAAAGTTATATCGAAGAAAAGAAGAAGGAAATATACAAAGAGGCAAATATGACAATGAGTATAATAAGAGATGAACGTTCCCACTTGACTTTGACAATCGCTGGATAAATTTCAATTACACTCGTCTCACTCTGCTATTTGGCTACATTTATCTGTACTATACGCTACTACAAGTGGCGATTAATTGATTATAAATGTTAATATTTATTTACAATATTTGATGGGCCAAATTTCAAAAAGGATACTTTTTGTCAGTTGATCGATCCGTCAATTATGTGGATAGGGGTGAGGTAAATAATAGTTGCGAGGTTCTACCTTCTCGGCTGTTCGTTTCAAGTATAATGTTTTTTTTTTTTAACCAGGTTGGTTAGCTAATCTCAGAGCGGCCAGGTAATTTTCAATATTGTGTAATACTCTGACAGAATAGCTATAGCATGCAATTGCTTTGTCATGCGAATCCAAACTGTTGGTCTTCCATGAAAATGTATCATTTTTCTCGTGTCAACATTTTTATCTCATCCTCATTCAACATTTTTTGGTGAAAAAATTGAGAGTGGCATTTGCCTTATCGAGTTTGATCTATCAACGGCGACATTTTACGTATTCAGTATATCTCAAGTATATTTAGTGATGTCCAACGTTATTTAAGCGAAAAAAAAATGATAATGTGAAAGATGTGAAATTGTTGAAGAAAAATAGAGTTTAAATGTTGAGTATTCAAAGTAGAAATTGGCCTTAGTTATCTTAGAGACCACACCCGCCTTTCCTTTGTATTCTTTAAAGTTATCCACAGTATATATATCGAGGCCGGATCTTATTCAGGTATAGAAACCCGGTTCTCTAACCACCGTCGGCGTCATTTCAACATTTCAAGTTCCAATGTATCTCTATGTTATTTCAAATTTTCTTTTTTTTTTTCTCATGTTAGACCTGACCATATTAAGAAAACCATTCACCACTCATTCTCAATTCAATTGATGCTAATGAATCATTTAGTCCCTGACTAATTTCTCCTTTTGAGAATTCCTGAGCAAAAAGCGTTGAGCCTTTTTCTATTAAACGATATTAAATTATGTGCAATAATGCAAAAGTTATAAACAACTCAAGGAATGTACTCAACAAAGCGTGAATGTGTGCTTGAGAGAACGCTATAATTATAACGGTTGTAATTGTATTCATTACGAACTCGTAATGAAAAATATTAACAAGAATTTTCTCAATGATTGTCAGATGCTGACGATAGTGAGTCCAGAGGGTGGTGCGCTGGCTGCTCAAATACCGGCTGGACATATTCTTCTTCCTACCTGTGAGTACTTGAGTTTCTCGCTTATCTCTAATATATTCATGGAGAATTGCGGCTTTACCGCTCAAATAATATAATTGAATTGAAGAGCTACCCAATGTTTTCATCAGATGAAATTAGAGAGGAATTAATCGTGTTGAAAGAGGAAATAATTAATGACCTTCCCCGAGACATTGTCACCAACGAAGGTGATCCCCCTTTCTCTATCACTCTCCTGACGTGCACAACCTAAATTCCGTGTTGAGTTTAGCGTAGAGATTTTAAATACATCGGCACGAGTCTGAAGAGACAAGTAAAAGCGAGGAGATGATGATGATCATCGAAATCCGCGAAAGTTTTGTTGCCGAGCCAACATGCCGTGAACGCACGCTAGAGTGGCTGGCTTCGAGGGACTATAAATGAAAGGAGAAATGCATACCAATCTCCTTCCACTTCCCTCAATTAACTCCTTTTCAATAACAACTTTTTTTTATCACCCAAAAATTTTCTTCAACATAATAAAAATCTTGTCCAGTAATCAAATTTCGCTGTTGTTCATTTCCTGGGGAAAGCAAAAATCCTCTAAATAACAATAAAAATACCCACTAAAAGGATTAAACAAGATGCTGGAACAATACTAAAATAAACAAAGGAGCTAATGAAAAAGAGGAAGCGGAGAGTGGTGAATGTAGCGAGCCATGTCGGACGCCTCGAGGCCACGTGAAAATCTACATCCTCTATACTAATCAACTCTTGTTATTTTTACTTTCTAGCAATAGAGAATTATAATAAAAAAAAAAGAAAAAAACCAAGAAAGAAGAGAGATCAAGTCAGTTGCAAATTATATCGATGGATTCATCAAAAGAATTATTTTATTTTCAATCCCAATCCTCATGATGTCAAAGGTAAAGATGAAGAGTTCACGGCCATATGAATTTTGCAATGAATATCCTTGGTATTTTGCACTGATGAGTGATGATTTTGAAATTATAAGCCCAAAGGTTTTTTCAATAAAAGTCGGTGGATTGCCATGGGGTCCTGGGATGATTGCATCGTTTGAGCGACTGAAACCGCCATAACGGAGACAGAAACTGTTGTCTTTGAAACTGAAAAGAAAATGGAAAAAATGGGAAAATAATCAGTCAGAGATGAAATCCGCAACGAAAATTGCGGAGACGGTGCGCGCGGCCAGTGGTCACGTATGTCCGCAGGACGGTTCTCACAACGGTTCTTTCATTTTTTTATTTTCAGTTTTTTTTTTTTTTCATATTGTTGTTATTTAATATTCGGGGGACGTACTTATTTCCTCTGAGTCAATGAAAGCGCTAGGCTTACACAATTACTCCATTACACAACGGATCACTGCATTCTATATTGTATTAATGAGGATATGGAATAAGGCTATCGGACATAATAGACAATGTACATTGATTTTTTTAATCAAGTTACAAGTTAACGGCTGTATGTTGACCGGGGTGTTCTGCGGATATAACTCCTCCCCCCCTTCCCCCTTCTCGGCCAATTAACGCCACGCGAAATACCGCAAGATTCTTCCTCTGAAAAATAAACAGCCAACACATTATGCTCGACTCAGAGAATCTGAGAACATGAACATCTGCGTATGATTATATGTAATATACGTTGACTGTGCTGTGTGGTATGCATGGTTGCATGGATTTACAATAAAAGACGGGAACGTCCGGTTCGGCGGAACGTGACGACTAGTCTATCCTCGACGTCAACGGCTATTCTTCTCAGTATTCTTCTGAATGAGTTCAATGACCCGAAAACAAGAGTGGGTTCTCCACTTGGCTTTTTCATTAAAAAGCCCAATGTGATTTTATTTTATTTCGAGTATTCAATCGAATTGAAAATAATTAATGATAGTCATCGTCGTAATTATTATTTCATTGGATAATTTCGACTTGGAGCGAGTAAAACCGGATGTCGGGAATCCCGACTGCTGGAGACAGACCGCCAAGACAACAGTCGTGTTATTCTCCTTTGAAAACTTTTTATTTTATTTCTCTGGCAGAGTCAAGTTCACGACTGTCTCATCATTGTGTCTCACCAACCAGTGACCAACCATTTTATGACTCTTTGTGCTGTTTGTGGCTGGTAGTGTTTGCACCACGTAGCAACCACTATATCAGTTGAAGAAAAATAACTTGTCAACTTTTACCCATTCAACTTGATTTGTCTTTGTCTTTCACTTTCGATTAAACTACATTTTTTTATTTCATTGGTAAACTGGCATCGTTTTGATACGTTTTTTTTTTTTCAGCGACTGTTGCGGTTGCAAGTACCGTACGGATCGAGTGTGCCAGTGAATCGATAATTGTTCACATATCTACGGAGGGGAACACTGATTTCCATGGTCTCGTTTATCCTCGTGGACTATCGAAAAATAGCTCCTGCTTGCAAGAATTTAGGAGCGAGCCAGCACCGATAACATATCACCTGCCTCTCAGATCGTGCAATACTATGCCTACGGAATTAGTAAGTCCCAACAATTTTCTTAACTGTAAACTTTACCATTGGAAGAGAAAAAACAGTTGGCTATTATCATAACGAAAAAATAATTAAAATGAAAAAAAAAATCAAACGGTTTTGCTAGGTAGATTTATTTTGCTGGCTCCAATGCTCCAATGCCGTTATGTGTTATTGCATTGGCTTGAGTTTAGAATTCTGCCATAGCAAGGGGAAGAGAAGGGATTTTCCACGTGTAATGCCATAACTGGACCGTTATGTGACCGTAGTTGGTGCTACCATTGCCTTCTTCAACTGTCAAAATTCAATTTCTAATCCAAATCTCTGCCACTTGTTATCCATTTGATAATTTGTTACGACATGATTCGTTAAAACCACATTAAAATTCATATTTCATGTTCTTTCTGATGATTCAAATGTCAAATGGAAAAATGAGAGGCGTGGAATTTGGTGAGGCAGAAAAAATCTCGTATAGTCCTTGAGTCGTTGGTTTATTTCTCGTTGGGAATATTTCAAACCAACTGTGGAGGCTAGAGGGAGGAGAGTCTCAAGGTCCCTAGCACAGAATGTGCAATTTCTTTCTCCGGTCCCTACCCTCTCCACTGACTGCTTCACCACCACCAACTTCTCCCCTCGAATTCCTCCGTTCAAGTTCAAAAAACAATTTCTCAACTCGTTCACTCATCAAACATTCACACCTCGTATTGACATTTTTTTCCCGTCTTTCTAGTCAACTTAATGAATAATGGAGCGTCAATTCTATGGAAATTCCTACAAGAAATATGAAGATTATTCGCTAGAAGAATTTACTTTTCTGAATTGATTGGCAGTGTTGAAAGGGGGATTGCGATTTTTTTTAAATTTCATATATATTTACTGAGGGATAGATATTATAGAAAAAAAAAAAGTGAATAACTTGTACGGTGCATTAGTTGTGTAGAAATATTGTGAAGCCCCTTGAAAATTGAATGGTAATAATAAATGGTGCAGTAAAGTTGAAAGACGCTGAAGAAGTGAATTGGCCACTAAAAAATCAATTTTATCAAAGTGTACGATACGTATATGCATTTACAGTGGCTGTTAAAGGCAAGGGTGTAGCATAGATTGTGGGTATCCTTGCTGAGGTCGCCAGTGGATGGCAATCACAAAAGTTCATTGGCCTTAACACACCTTGGCACTCCTATCCTTCTCAGTTCTCTCAGCTCTCTTCACTTCTCTTTTTTTTTTCATTCTCTCGTTTTCTTTATATTTTCCTTAGTTTTGCCCCGAGGGGAAAAAGCATCGTAGGGTTCGTTGCCCGGTCAGTTGAGGTACTTGAATCACGGAAATATTTAACGCCTCATGAGATGTTAGTAGTTGTTAGTGATTCAACCATAAATTATTCCCGTAGAGTTTTCTGAATGAGTCGTCGCACACATACAACAGTTGATGTCACCAAATGATGACATGGCTCTTACCTAAAATCTTATTTTTTTTCAAACAAATGATAATAATCCTTGATTTTTCATCGATAGGAGGATGGTGGGATCGAGTATTTCAATACAATAGTGGTCCAACCTCATCTGAAACTTGTAACAAATCAGGGCCGAGGTTTTCACGTTCGATGCCGTTATCAAACTCGAGATAAGATCATTACCAATGATCAGACTCGCGTCGCAATGTTGCAGTCACTTCCGTTACAGGTAGACCAAGAAAAAAATTTTATTATTAAGAATTAATAGAATGGGATAATAGAATGACTTTTTATAATTAGGCAATGGCGCCAATGCCTGGTTGCACGATGAAAATATTCTCTGGCGATCCGACTCGTCATCATGTCGCCGAGAATGTCAAAATAGGAGATCCATTGACACTGGTTATCAGTATTGATAAACAGGAGATGTTCGGATTAAAGATATCCGATTGCATTGTGAGAGATGGTCTCGGCTGGGGTGAGCAAAGGCTCATCAACGATCAAGGGTAACGATCAATCAATCAATAAAATTGGTTACTTTCTACAACGGTTTGAGTATCCACATTTCATTATTTCTCTTTTTCCATACATTTAAATTGCAGATGTCCGGTTGATGGCGAAATAATGGGTCAATTCACGTACAGCGAAGATAAGACCGAGGCTCGAGTGAATTTTCAGGCGCACAAGTTCCCTTATACAGCCTCCGTTTATTACCAGTGCAATGTTCGCCTGTGCACCACACACGCTGGTGGATGCTCAGATACGCCCCCAGAGTGCAACGAAATAACACGAAGAAGGAGAGAGGCAACTGGAAGAGCCATCGACGACAAAGATTCAGTGGGATTCGATGGTACACCAGCAACTATTGAGGTTTACAGCGGATTATATGTCAATGAGGCATCGGATCTCGGAGGCAAGACTGATCCCATTGATGACGTTTTTCGAGAAAGGACCATCAATGACAGCGACGCTATTTGCATATCCCAACGTAGTTTCGCTATCGGGATTGCCATTGCTGGATTAATACTCATGGTAGCGGTCGTAGCAGCAATTTTAGTACTTCTAGCTAAGAGACGTCACAAAAACGTCTCCACCACGGGCTCCTCCATCTACAGTGGTCCCTACACAAACACTGCTTACAGTCACAGCAGTTGAATAAATATTCGAAAAATCTCCTCATCAATATAAGTACTTAAACTTTGATTTTTCATCTTGAAGAATTGTATGAAAAGATATTTTCATTTTCTTACTCCTCTCTTGCTCAAGCTTTGCCTTGGATTAATACTCTTCTAGTATCCTCAATTAAAATGGACAAGTTATTGTTGAGGTTTTAGATTTTACATAGCCCAGTCGAATGGCCGTTCATACCTCTATTAATGAGAATATTAATTTCACTTGTTGATATATATTAATTGGACTTTTCTCTCCTGGTCTTGTCTCCATTACAATAAGGCTTTCTGTTGATTAGATCCATCAGATTGGAGAAGGAAAACAATGATCTAATAATAGGAGATTTTTACTTCTTACAATGATTTTCCTCTTTTGAAACTACAAGCAAAAAAAAAGACACATCTTCGAATGAGGAAAATACATTTTTTTTTATAGAGAATGTCGAGAAAAATTAGGAACAATTTACCTCTGTTTTCAAATTTACAAGAATCTTGAGAAAATTGTTTTTTTTTTCTTTCATTTTCAACAATAAGAATTACTGCCATTTCGTCAACGTAATTAATAAATGAATAAAGATAGATTGAAATTAAAACTGGGGACTCAACTGGTGATGGGTAAATGACGTCATTAATTAAGCTTTGAATAGAAAAAGTGCGAGGAATAATCAAATGTTTTTTCAAAATAATTCCTCCATTTTTTCTTCAAATAGGATAAACAGTGCAATATTAAAGGAGATGACAGCTTTGACGTTGGTTCACAGTGACATTGGGTATGAAATAAATTGCCAAGTAATTTAACTTTTAGATTTTCCAGGATTTTGGAAAGGTGTGGGATGGCCTCAGTCAGATATTCTTTTAAATGTCACTCTGTACCCTCGTCAACCACTTCGTACAATCAGTGACTATTTTCTTTGTAAATAACAAAGTAATAAATATAATTCCTGTCTTTGATGACCATTTCGAGTTTTAATTCACCTGAAATCAGGATTTTTAATAATTTCGTGAGAGTTTTTTTTTTCTCAATTTCTTTAATTTTTTTCTTTTCTTGAAAATATGAATAATATTTATGTATATAATATAACAAGAGATATAATTAGACAAATATCAGTGTTCATGAGTCCCGCATATTTAATATATTATTATATTTTCGTTAATAGTTTTTTTCTCGATCCTTTCTCGTCAACTTTCTTTCTCAGTTATAATTGTATAATTATTCAATGATTTTTCATGAAATATAATTGATCCGGTGAGTTTAAAAAAAGACATTGAATTAATGGAACATCAAAAATAATCCTTTTTCTCATGAGCCAAATGAGGAAACTTCACTTTATCTTCTCAAAAACATTATATAGTTTTTACCTCCTGTTTCTAGTTAACTGTGCGGAAAAATAATTGTATTCTCATTAGGAACATGAAATACATTCACGGTGGAACTTTTATGTCCTTCCTACATGTTTTATGCTTCTTTTAGGATTTTTCAATTTCGATGCAGCTGCCTAAATTCAACAGTCATGTTGCATAAATACACATCTCATTGGAAAGATCAAGTGACTCCCTCCCTCCTAGATCCTCAATAAAATTTATCATTATGCAACAATCTGTCTCCTAAATTTCTACACTTTAATTATGCAAAATTTATCTTTATAACAATGGTTTCCCTTGTCTACAACAATGCAGTATTATTTTGTTCTTCATTCTCTTTGTCAAGGAAATAAAGTTAAAATCCGATTTATTTACAATATTTAATGAAGAATAATATTTAAAAAAAAAAAAAATTCACTTCATTTTAAAAGAAGAACACAAATTATCATTGTTTTCAAAGTGATTCGGTTATCTGGACAATCTGGAATATCCACTTATTTTTTTTCTTGAGAAAAATGTAAAAAAAAAAAAAGAAAAAGAAAAAAACACAACGCGGAATGCGACTTAATCCTAAATTACCCGCAGATCCTGTTTATCATTCGTCCATCCCTAATTCGATAATTGTTTCATAACTTTTTTAGATATTTGTTTCAGTTGTGAGCTTAGTGACTTTATCTCGTGAACATTTCTCCCTTCATTTCTTTTTTTTTCATTTTACTACAAAAACGACAACAATATGAACTTGAAATTGTGATATTTAATGACATGAAGGTTAACCATCGATTAAGAAATACCAACTACTGTGTCTCATTCTCTCGTTCAGCTGGTTAATTTTTATCCATTATTTAATTGAAGAAAATTTAAAAAGGAACAAGTTATGTGAGACAATACCCATTTTTTTTTTCTCCCATTTTTCTCGAGAATAGACCGAGTTAAATAGATTTGACTGGAGTGACTGAAGCCTGAAGTTTCTACTCAATATCTACCACGACAAAAAAAAAATTAGCAAATGAATCATCGATTACTCATATTCTCAATTAAAAACGAGGCACACAAATGTTAAGTACATGTCGATAAATCGTCAGAAGCGTTGTTCTTTGTAATTCACTTGTTCATTATCTGGATGGATTCTCATTAAATATTAATATTTACTAATTGCTTTGTTCAATCAGAAATTTGAAAAAAAAAAATCGTTTATAATTAATCGCTACATATTTTTAACTATCAACTTTTATCCTTACTATGATGAACTAGACATATAGGACTAGATACTGATTACATTCATGAAAGAAAGAGAAACAAATTGATTGGATAAACGCAATCAGTAAACTATCGACAAAGTTCAATTGTTTATTCTCTTATGATGAAAATTAATGGGCCATTACTTTCTCCTCCATTATCATCTCAATTTCTCTATTATTAATTTTGTTCTCAAATCATTTGAATAATCGTGGAATTTCATCCGTTTTTCATTTTTCATTACATATCCGTTAATTGATGAATTATGGCAAATAATGGGAGAAATATAAGTTGAAATTTTATCTTTTTCCTCCGTTTTTCAATTTTCCATCCATTATTTTTCTATTTTTAATCGTACAACTTTCGTTTTCTCTTTAGATATTGCGCACTTCAACAATTACCTATAACATTATTTAATTCCTCTGGATATCCTGCCTCAGGTTAATCACCTTTGACTTTGTACGGTGCTATTACTGATTTGTTTTTATTTTTATTTCTTATGGTTTTGGTTGAATTTATGGTTATCAATTGTTTTAATGTGACTGATTCATCTCATTGGCTAGTACTGTGTCACCTTGTGTCGACGGGTGATTGTCACCTTCACGGTCCCTGAAAGCAAATTATGTCAATGGATTAGTGAGTTTTTTTTCTTCGTAAAAGTGAAATGGAAAATGTGATAAATGTGAATAAAATATTTAAAACGATAGTTAATGTGAAGTCACAGATTATCAAATATATAAAGCTTAGAAAAATTTCAAATTACAAAAAAAGTTTAGAATAAATTTCCATGTACCTTATGTCACATTGCCTTCCATCGGTTTTGCTTGATGAAGAAAAAAACAACAAACACAGAAAAAAATAGTCACCGTAAATAGAACATTTACACACTCAATTGAAAAATTATGAATGAGAATGATGATAAGGAGATGGAGTAAAAAAATCAAATATACTCCACTTTGTCACAATAAAATTTAAAAAAAAAACTGTTTAATCGAAGAGGAAGATAATTCAATTTGATTCTTCACAATTCAATTATTAAGATTTTTACATAATGAAATATTTTTCTGAAGAGTAATGTTCTTCTTCAATCCAACAGATGAGAAAAAAATGTTGTCGGTGATATTTTTACCTTCTCGCGTGTCTTTGGACGGGTTGGATGATATAGAGGGCATGGAAGGAACTTGATAGACATTGGGCCTTACGCCTGTTGGTGGTAGAGATGTGATTTTGGACCTAGCAAACATTTACATTTACATCTGACACATGACCAATCGAAAATAAATGAAAATACTTCATTGAAATCTGCAATAAAATGAACAATGGTTTGCTAGATTTGTTTGGCTTGATAAAGTCACTTCACTGCAGAAATAACAAAATGGTGAAAAATTGTGTGAAAAATTAGAGTGAAAGTATTTGGCATCGGAGAGTGTAGAAGTGACTTTACTCAACGGTATCGGAGAGAACAGTCAGTGGAATTGTCATGAAAAGATCATTTACCTGTGTTTTCGTAATTTCTGGCCTCGACCATCGAGGGAGTTGGGAGTGGGACAGCCGGATGTATTGGAGGAGTATGACGGTGGCCTAAATGGACGTGAGCAGCCTTGAATGATAGGGGGTGATGTCACTGGTGCATACTGCAGACGAGTGTTTCCAGGATGCATCAGTCGAATATCCCCTGCTTAAATATTAACCATCAATCAAATTAGCCAATGGATAATTAATTAGTTGTCTATGATAATATGACTTTACCTTGGACGATATGAAGACCCTGGTACATTGGCAGTGGATAACGGGATTGTCCTGGTACATTTCTGTTATCCCCACCGAGAGCTCCGCCATTGCCATTGCCATTGCCATTGCCATTACAATTGCCATTACCATTACCAATACCAATACCAATGCCTCCGCTATTGGCACTAATATTATTGTTGTTGAAAAATTCATGAGCTGGCGTTGGCGATCTGCTTGTTCTCTGTGAACCAGAGGGGGTTGAAGCTCTGATACCAGTGGTCACAAGTGGCATATTTTGCCGGAATACAATATTTGGTAGAATTGACGGTGACATGTAAGCACCCGGTGGTCCTGGAGCCCCTGTATTTGCTAATTGATGTCCAAATGATCCTGCTACCATTGTCGATGGTCCGTAATTTGGTGAATTAAGGTACATCACAGGTACACCTGGCATTTGATTGGATGTTGGGGTATTAGGCGGTGTTGATACCCTCCACATTACCGGTGATGGTTGCATCCCAGGCTGTCCAGGTGGATAATAAGTCGGTATCATATGCATGGGGCTTTGATGGTGGTATGAATAATCGGCAGGATTTGGTGTTACTGTTGATATTGAGTTGTACGCTAGTGGCCCATATCCATTAACGTAATTCGGCGTTGTTTGATTGGGTGGTGTCATTGTTTGTGGATTATAGGGGTAACCCGATGTAAATCGTTGGTGCTGAGGCATCGTCTGCCTATCATTCTGATTGTGATTTTGATTGACGGAGACAGGTGGACCTGATGGCGGCACGAAGTACATGGTATGTTGTGGCGGTATAGCATTGCCAGGTTGTCCGTGCTGTTGTTGCTGTGTGTGCGGTGGTAGTGATGATGGAGGAAGAGGTGGCGGCGGTGGTGGGGGTGGAGGAGGCGGAGGAGGGGGTGGAGGAG